AAGGGGCAACAAAAATAAATTTATGGTTGGGGGTCATCATAACATGAGGAACTGTATTAAAGGGTCGCGGCATTAGGAAGGTTGAGAACCACTGTCTTAGAGGAATCTGAAGTTATCTGATCTATGCCTTTCGTTGTCTTTGAACTGTCACCAGCTGAGGACATGCCTGGAGCTGGTCTACCTCTGCCGGCTGGTAGTGTGTGAGTTCTTGAATTTGTGCAGGACAGATTTCACAACACAAGTCCAGGTGATTTTGAGAGTGTGTTCATTACAGCTGGGGACAGCTGAACAAAGGAAGAACTTAGGGTAGAAGAAGCAATAGGAGAGCGCCTAGTGCTCTGCTTCGGCTTTCTGGGAACGTTATAGGAAAGAAGTGAGCCAAGGCAGGCTACTTTTGGCTCACTAGAGGAAAGGGAGCCTTGGAGACAAGATCAGGGCGTAAGCCCAGGACAAGCTGCTGCTGCCCATTGCTCCCCTGGTTGCAAGTCTCATGAGGACCCTTATAGTTTAGAAGAAAGTAAAAAGTTCATGTCCATGAAAGGGCATGGGTGTGCTCTAGAGTGAGCCTGCACTTTGTCTTGGGGTTTTTATTTCTCTTCTGTGGGCAATAATCTTAGGCAACGGTTTAAGCAGAATATTCATCAGCTTTCCAGGTGTGTGTTTAATATGCTGATGCATCAAAATAAGCATACAGGGGAGTTTGAGATTATTATTTGGTCTGCTTTACTGTTTTATTTTTATCTTGGGTCTGTCTGGCTTTAATCAGGTTTTTGTTATTTGTTTCCCTGACTTCATCCATAATTGGGTTTAGTTGACATAAATGGCATTAATTGGGTCTCTGTTCTGTATCTCCCCCACCAGCATGATTTAAGTAATGTATTCTCTGGTTTAGGAGGAGAGGTATAAAACATTTGCTCTCAAGTGTCCTTGGTTAGGGAAGATAAGGTCTTCAGATTCTAGCTGGCTTTAAGTTGTTCAAATTGTTTGGCCTTGTTTCAGTTTCCCCATTCCACTTACCCAGGAATTTTCCTAGCTTCTTACTATTCTCCCTCAGCACTATTTTACAATTTGTAAGTTGAGAAAACTGATGGCAATGCAAATGATTCTTCTACATAGAAAGACAAATGAATTTTGTCCAGTGAGACACAATTGATTTCCACCCTATGAAAAAGATCATTCTAAACGTTATATGTTATGCCCTTTAGATATTGACCAACTTTATATCTATTAGCAACTTCATTTCAGCAGTCTTAAATATCTATATATTTGTCTGTCCTTAGATTCTCTTTTGAACCAGCTTAACATCTTCTAATTCCCTCATTTATATGATTTGTTATTTTACTTTTTTGAAAATTCTCTTAAACACTGTATTATTCTGGTCACGTGGCTATTTCCCTAGGCTACACTTAAGGCCAGTCCTAAGAGCATAAA